CCCCAAAACCCCAAAACCCCAAAACCCCTTTTTCATTAAGATAATTGAGATTTTATAAAAATATGGAATTTAACAACCCTATTGCCAGTGCTGCAGTGGTTGACCAGCTTACTAATAATTGCTGGGAGAAGGATGAAAAATTCAATGCATTAGAAATGCCTAATGAGAGGATTGAAATTAATAACGATATCTATGAAAGACCTGATTATGATTATGAATTCGATCCCTATGATGCTGAAATTGTAGAAAATACTAAGGAATATTTGAATAACCTCCCTTATTTCCCTGATAAAAAGCCTCCTGAGACTAAGAAGAAATATATATCAAATGCAACTAAATAAAAGAAGAGAAAGGTTAGGCTTACCGGTTGAGGTCCCTATATTCCCTGAAAAAGTTGATTATGATAATCTTGATCAACAGGTAATTTCTTTTAATGATAATTTAATATCCTTTCAACTACTCAACAAGGCTCACGAGATTCTATAGCAAGATATGGGTCATATACCAAAGAGACAAGAGGTCAGGTTTGAGGATCAAGAATATTCTAGGAATACTACACCAATAGCTTCTTCAAGAGCTCCTTCAGAAATGTAACCCTTAAATCTTATTTTTAGTTCCAATGTTGATGACTCAGAAGACCTTACAGTGCATCCTCCAAATCTAAGACAAAATGGTGATATTGTTTGGGAGAAGGATACAAAAAGTTTTCAGCATTTTCAAAATTTAAAAGATTTTGAAAAACTTCATGATGCCAAACTTTACTACAATACAATGCTGCCTCCTCTCAGGCAGAGTAATATTGGTAAGCAACTAAAAATGCAAACAGAGCCTTTCTCTGAAGGGCTTCAGGTTTCCGAATGGCCTGATAAATACAAAATATATCAAAAACTCAAGCAGAGTACTGCAAATTTTCAAGTTGAGGAATCTGACACTGACTTGGACAATATCCAAGGCAGTCCCTATTTCAATAAAAACAAGGTCAAGTTTGATGACCAAGTCGACCAAGAGTAATACTTTCTCTGTAAAATTTAGTGAAATGAGAGAACGCAGAATGACCAGATTTGAACAAAAAGGAGAATATGAAAGACTCCAAAAGCTTGGTGCCGGCTTTAAAACACAATTTGGAGTAAGCTTAAATATTTACCTTCAAAGGGCCCTCCTCCGAATTACATATCGGATTCTGAAGAAGAGGATGAAAATGAACAAGAACGGAAAGGCAAGAATTTTTCAGATGATGATGAACTATATGAAAGGAACATTCAGAAAAGAGCTTTAGCTGTGAATCAGAAATATAGAAATCTTCACAGAAGGAAAATTCCAGTAAATAGAGTCACTAAATACGACCAGTTTACTAATGATGAAAGAATTCCATATATTGAAGACTCTGATCCTGAGGTGGTTCCTAGAGGCCGAAACCAAAGAGGAGCCATTAGAAAATAACCTAAAAGTAAGTTGGAACAGAGATGTGCAAGATAATGAATACATCAGACATCAGATGGATTCAATAGATTACTGGCAGAAATAATGTTACCATGGAGAGGGAAAGAGCAAAGAACAATTTGATAAATCATGCTTACCAGTACTTAGAGTTTCCAAATAAATAAACTTCCTCCAAGTTTATTCAGTACTGTTGATTTTTACAATGATCTTCATGAGAGAAATTCAGAACCTAACGGAAACTATAACTTAAAATAAAACAGCTCTCAATAACTGGAGGAAGAGAAATTTCGGAGAATTCAAGATTAAAAATCGACCGATAGATGATCATTTTCAGTATTTTGAACCTGGCGGGCATAACCTCAATCCGATAAAGGATATCTGGAAGATTCCTGTAAACTACCGACCTCATAAGCAGAGGCCAAATACAGACTCTGAGTTACAGCAGATGCTTAAGTCAAAGTACAATATGGGGCAGAGGAAGTCTAAATACCATAAATATGGAGGTTATTTTTAAGCTTACAAAATAGTTGTGCTATTAACCTCTCTGTGGAGTATCAGAAGTAGGTGAAATGAAAAGTAGCGTCATTTTGATCCAAACAATTTCCTGATAAATATTGGGGTTTTGGGGTTTTGGGGTTTTGGGGTTTTGGGG